CCAAGGCTACCCAGGCTGGCTCTTCTCCCAGGAGGCTCAGTGGGGGAATCGAACTCCCAACCTCTGGCTCCACAGCCAGAAACCTAACTCACTTAGCTATCATACATTAAATTGAAACGGAACATGCCCACCCACCACCCAATAAACTAAAGCAGGTCAACAACAACAGTGCTGTAAACTGCTCAGAGGAGTGCTTCAGACTAAGTTAGTGATATAGAGATGATTGATTGATTGATTGATTGATTGGTTGATTGATTGATTGATTGATTGATTGATTGATTAGGCTTCTACCCTGCCCATCTAGACCAAAGGTCTACTCTGGGCATCATGATGCACGAAATGAACAGGTAGGTCGGTAGGTAGGTAGGTAGGTAGGTAGGTAGGTAGGTAGGTAGGTAGGTAGGTAGGTAGGTAGGTAGGTAGGTAGGTAGGTAGGTAGGTAGGTAGGTAGGTAGGTAGGTAGGTAGGTAGGTAGGTAGGTAGGTAGGTAGGTAGGTAGGTAGGTAGGTAGGTAGGTAGGTAGGTAGGTAGGTAGGTAGGTAGGTAGGTAGGTAGGTAGGTAGGTAGGTAGGTAGGTAGGTAGGTAGGTAGGTAGGTAGGTAGGTAGGTAGGTAGGTAGGTAGGTAGGTAGGTAGGTAGGTAGGTAGGTAGGTAGGTAGGTAGGTAGGTAGGTAGGTAGGTAGGTAGGTAGGTAGGTAGGTAGGTAGGTAGGTAGGTAGGTAGGTAGGTAGGTAGGTAGGTAGGTAGGTAGGTAGGTAGGTAGGTAGGTAGGTAGGTAGGTAGGTAGGTAGGTAGGTAGGTAGGTAGGTAGGTAGGTAGGTAGGTAGGTAGGTAGGTAGGCAGGTAACAATAAAAGCTCTTAGAGCCACAGTCATAGTAGCTATGGGACTATGGGATTTGTAGTCCAAAGAGGAAAAAAAGAAGACCAACTAAAACATTGATCAACTCCCTATAGGAAGCCACAGGCTTGAGTTTACAAGAGCTGAGCAGAGCATTTTTGAACAGGCCATTCTGGAGATCCATCATCCATGGGGTCACCATAATTCATAGGTGGTTTGACAGCATATAACAACTACACATCACTTATCTCAACATCTTCTACTCAGATAGACGTGTGGGTGATATTTCTTTACTCCTTAGTTTAATATATCTCATCCGGTCTTTCTTCCAAGGTATCCAAAGTAGGTCACTATTTTTAAATACTGAAGCAAATGTTCTTGAATCCTTCTTCTGAAGAACCAGAACAGAGTTATTTCTAGCTCAACACGAGTTCATGTCACCAGTAAATCTGGCTGGGGCTTCCCTCAAGGAAGAGCCGTTTTAGGTAGTGTTTTTAGATTGATTTTATGTCTCCTAATTTAAATAATGTTCCTTACTTTTGCTGGTCAATGACCGTAATAAAACATTTATTATTATTATTTATCGGTAGTCTTAGAGAAATGAAGGAAAGAACTTACTCAACCGTCCTCACAGGTTGTTTATCCAGGATTCTGAGGCCAAGGCACGAAAGGCCAAACTAAATGTTAAAGAGAATGAATATCCCCACACCCACACCCCAGCTCCTGCTCCTGCCCCTGCCATGGGATTCCCTCAAAGATATGTAAGCCATGTTTGCCTTCCAATGGAAAACATATGCTATAACAAACAGATGCCTTTTACCACTTGGAGAACCACCTCTTCTAGAAACATGCTAAACTTAACAGCCAGAATCCTATTATGAAATATTGCATGCCTAAGGGAAATTGCACAAGCCCTTTTAAAAGCAATTTTTGTTCCACATGAACTTAATGGAAACCCTCACAGCTGCTGGAAGGCAAAATAGACTTTCCTAGGTACTGTATCCCTTTGGTAATGCAAAATATTTGAAGGTGCTTTGGTCTTGAATTGGCGGTTCAGAGCCATTAGCTTTTCAAAAGACCTGCTCCTCAAGGGTGATTTTCATCAGTCCAGCTGTCTGCATATTCTGGTACTCCTCATGGTTATGCAGACTATCAAGATGGGCACCTGCACTTCCAAGTTTATTATTACTGTATTTTTCTGTGTATAAGACACCCCCATGTATAAGACCCCCCTCCACTTTTCTAACCCAATATTTATTTCTTTGCAGGAAAGTGGAAGGGAAAAGCGATTCCAGCTTTCCTGTTACACTTTCGTTGCAAAAAGCAGCTTTCCTCCTCCATGTTTTGCAAAGAAAATGGAAGGGGAAAGCAATTCCTGCTTTCTCCCTCCATTTTCGTTGAAGATGCAATGAAAACGTAGGGGGAAAGCAGGATGCATTTCCCCTCCATTTTCTTTGCAAAATGTGGAGGGGGAAAGCAGGGATCAAGGCGCTTTGATCCTCCCCCTTACTTCCATGTATAAAACGACCTTCCATTTTTCCTTTAATTATTTTAGGGGAAGTGTCATTTGATACACAGAAAGGTAATCTCTGTTAGGTATGTTGGCTCATATTCATGGAAGCTTGTAGTCCCCCTAAAATCTGAGAGCAGTCCTCTGCTCTGATCTTTTTATTCTGGAGAGCTGGGTACAACGGTAAGGAAATGAAACAAGCCAATCCCTGGGAGCTGAATCTGGGAAGTTTCTGCACAGCACGTACATTCTCTAACAATGAACTATGGCCCGTTCTACCATTATTAGAGTAACACAACTTTAGCGCCCTGCCCAAACTGAAACTGGGCTCCTCTTCTTCATGATCATCATGTTGGCACATGTTCTTTCCCCAACCCCTCAGGAAAAAAAGGAAAGGAAAGAAAAGAAAAGTTGCTCTTACCAGTAAGAACAAGAGGTAGGATAAAATCAGGGCAGCCAAAACCAGGAGCAATATGGACCAATGAAACCAGAATCCATAATTGGCAAAGTTGTATCTAGAAACAGAACACAACCAAATCATGCAGAGGAAGAGACCTCAAGGCCACCATGCATCCCTTTACTGGGGGAGAAATAAAGGGTATATCTATTTATAGGTTATAATTTAAATGAACGGGGGAATGAATGAATATAGCATACAGAATTATCAAATAACAAACAATTCTTTCATATGGTCCTCCTCTGTATGACAGAATCATGCATTTGCACAACACAAACCTGGAAATGTTCTATCTGTACAAAGCAGTAGACCAAATATTGGACTCCACCATCAAGCAGCACAACTACCAGCCAAATACGGCAGGATTTGCTCTGCTTATAAAATGGGTGATTTTGAAGCATTTTTTCCCTGACTGCATGATGCAAAGGCAGATTTAAATTGGTCCAGCTTTTTTTCCCCTCCAAAAGTTGCTTTTTCCCCCCTCCTCTGCCACTGTGAGGCTTCTAGTATTTCCAGCTAAAACAATTTGAATTGACTTTTTCTCATGTGGTTAGTTGTGACAGGTTCTTCTAAAGACAGGATGTGTCTGGAGGTGGTGTTTCAGTGATGTACATAGTTGGGGTGCGGTGTTCAGGTGGAGCGGGGGGGACATGCAAAAGCAAAGCACCATGTTTGTAATGTAGGGGGTCAGGTGAGTCCTCTGAAATAAACTAAGCTTCAGATCATGTGGGAAGGTCCTTTTATTGTAAACCACCAGAAGTTTAGTGTTAATTACTTAATTGATAGGTCTGATTCTTTTATGGTTCTCTGTGAAGTTGCTTCTCATTTAAAGTTTCAGGCTACTACATTTCTCAAACACCTTTCTATAGAAGAATAACATGGAAAGGTACTTCACAGTCTAAGAATACAGCATAGCGCAAGTTTGAGCAGGAATTGTGCAAAATACATCAGAATTCAAACATCAGGTTGATTCCATAATAGGCACCACCACCTTCTGGTTCCCATCTGTTACTCTTTCCCCTTACTTTCAAGTAACGCATGCAGGAATTCCTTCATCTCTGGTCACATATGGTTTCAAACTATTGGCATGACCAACTGTGACCACGGAGGTCCAAGGATATTGGCCTTGGAAACCTTTATGGCCATATTATCCCTAAAGAAGGGATAAACCTGCTCTTTTCGAATGCTCCTTCTGGAGGCCACGTAACTAGGACACATACCTGTCGAAGGCGTTATAGTCATTTTTCAGTTGTCCCCACATGTATGTAAAGATGAACCAGAGGAAGAAGGCGAAAAGGAGCAGTGCAAAAAATGCACACTCACCCTGCAAGCAAGGATGGGAAGAAAAGACAGAACGTACAAACCTATGACATGCAGATTTTTAAAATACCATACTATATAAATATCACATTTAAAAAGCAGCAGTATATATATTAGGGACGTGGTGGCGCTGCGGGCTAAACCGCAGAAGCCTGTGCTGCAGGGTCAGAAGACCAAGCAGTCGTAAGATCGAATCCACGCGACGGAGTGAGCGCCCGTTGCTTATCCCAGCTCCTGCCAACCTAGCAGGTCAAAAGCATGTATAATGCGAGTACATAAATAGGGACCACCTTGGTGGGAAGGTAACAGCGTTCCGTGTCTAAGTCGCACTGGCCATGTGACCACAGAAGATTGTCAACGCTGGCTCTATGGCTTGGAAAAGGGGATGAGCACCGCCCCCTAGAGTCGAACACGACTGGACAAAATTTGTCAAGGGGAACCTTTACCTTTACCTAATATATATATACAGTATTGTGCTTTCAAAAAATCAAGATTAAAAATAATTACTGTACATTGCAATATTATTTCCATGAATAGGATGACACTAGAGATGGGCATGAACCACCAGTTCAGCAGTTCGGCGCAGTTCGTTTCCCTGCCAAACAGTTGGTCTGCAATTTGGTGTCCCACCCCCTCCCGGAGGACACCGAACCACAGATCAGCTGTTTAGCCAGGAAATGAACCGTGCCGAACAGCCGAATTGGCACACTGCGCATCTCTAGACGATACCATTGGATGCTCAGCAAAGTAATTAACTACATTTCTGGCCTTCTGGAAGTATCCAGTCTCTGCCCCTCCCTCGTCCCAATGGTAGGGCCGGCTGTGCCTGAATCCCATTTCACCGCATCACTATCACCATGGAATTTGCCTGGCAGACGATTGTAACAGTATTTCCTGTACCCAGTGAGCTCAATTTAATCCTCAAAGAAAGGAATTCATACGTCTCAGATTCATAACCATTTTAGGACAGGAAGGGATTGACTTAAGTGCTGAAATTCGGGGAGTGCAAAACTTTGCTGTTGGAAGAGTGCAAACCCACAAATTGGTATTGGGAGAGTGTGACACAGGTTGTTTCACTAGCCCGAGGCCCACAACACATTCTCTCTGCAGCTACCAGTTGACCTCCGTCAACACCCTTTAATTAGAAAGATTGAGGTCCATATTAACAGTGGCTAGATTGATAATAGCTAGGCAATGGAAATTAAAATCTGAATTTCAATTTGAAGATTGGTGTAAGGAAATATGGAACATAGCTATAAATGATAAATGAACTTGTAGTTTAAAGGTCAAGAAAGGAGAGTTTAAAAAATATTTTTTATGAAATATGGGGCAGATTTTTAGAATATGTGTTGATAAGAGGAAAAGGGAAAGCTCCAAATCAAGAATCAATGCAGTTCTGGAGAAGAGGACAATAGAAGAGGAAGCAGAAGAAGAATACAGGTGGAGGAAGAAGATTACAGCAAGAGGCCCCGTTTATGGTGGTGGAGAACACAGTTGAATTGTACAGTATTTTAGTTATATGTTATATGTTTATGTGTATGTTATAATTATAGAAAATTAAAAAATTTTTAGAAAAGAAAGAAAGATTGAAGTCCAAGTTGAGTATAAATGTGAACAACACAGGTTGATTGATAACAATTCGCTTAAACAGGTTGTTCACAGACTTTAATGTATTCATTAGATTAGTAATAACTTGTTTCCCTCTTAACTCTCTTCGCTCTCTATAGGTTCCACACCCTTAACTCCTAACTCTGCCACACTCTCTATCTCCCACAGACAAACTCTTACTTCAGACTCTCCTCTCTCACTGACTCAACTCCCCAGACTCTGACTCACCCTCCCTTCTGGGTTTTTTTGGCTCCGCCTCCCAACATCTCCCATTGGTGTATGCAAATGACCTCATACATGCGCCCAAACAGAGTGATCACCCACAGAGGAACCGACCTGCCCACCCAGAGCACAGACTACCTCCAACTTCTCCTCCCCGGACAGAAAGAAATACACAACAGGTGGGCTTGGTTTACAACTAATATGGTTGATGGGCTCTCAGACCCACGAGTCCCTTCTCATTTCTCTCCTCTCTCCCTCTGTATGCCAACTGCAGAGAACCAACGCCCAACCAATAGGGCAGTACAACCCCAAGACCCCCAAATTGCTAGTTACCGTTCTGGTACTTACGATGCCGCAGCAGCACTGCCCTGGCTTGATCCTTTTCTGCTCGTACCGTTCCCATCGACAGCTGTAGAGTCCCGCTAGGCAGGAAACGTAAGGATCGTACTCGTAACTCTGGGGTAAATGCTGGCGAGCAATTTTCAGCTTCCTGAGCTTGGCCTTCTTGACAGTGATTGGACCATTATCCATTTGGGGAGCTTCTATCTGAAATTCTTCCTGCAAGAAGACCTATAAAGCATCAAAGGTGTTTGCTTGTGGGTTTGGATGTGCTAGGATCCTACAGTAGCACACGTTCCCCCACCCCCAATAGAACCTTTTGGGGTCCTTTTAAAGAGAAATGTGGGGTAAAAAATATTTTAAATACATAACGTTTTAAAAGTTAATCCAGCTTTGAAAAAAATGTCAACATACATATTCTGGGGAAAAAATCCCATCTTAAGGTTTTATCAATGACTAATACAGTGGTGCCTCACTAGACGATGATAATCCGTTCCACTGACATCGCTGTTTAGCAAAATCATTGTCTAGCAAAAAGCATTTACCCATTGGAATGCATTGAAACCTGTTTAATGCATTCCAATGGGGAAGAATCATCGTTGTCTAGCGAAGATTGGCCATAGGAAAGCTGCTTTGCGAACCGCCAATCAGCTGTATAAATTGCTATCTTGCGAAGCTTAGGTCCCGAAAACACCTGTTTGCAAGCGCGGAGGGAGCTATAATATCGTCGTCTAGCGAAAATCGGTTTGCGAAGCAGGGACCAAACATTGTCCAGCAAAATTCCCCCATAGGAATCACTGTTGTGAATCGCTATAGCGATTGCAAAAAGCCAATGTGTAGCTAAAAAATCTGTCATGCGGGGTAACTGTTAGCGTGGCACCACTGTATCAGAAATTAGCCCAAATTCTTGTTGCTTAGCAAAGTAAATTGCACTAGAATAGGTTCACTGTATCAGTGATAACTCCTCCATAAGCTCCATTGAGTCAATGGGCCTACTCTAGCTGAGACTTACTTTGGCACAGTAAAGTACAGTAAGACCCTTGTATCCGCAGGGGATTGGTTCCAAGCTCCCCCGTAGATGCTGAAAACTGTGGATAATAGTGCATGCTATACATCCAGAAAAAAGTATTTTCACCATTTATTACCAGAACTGGCCACTAGATGGAGACAGAGACCATGCTATGTATTCTTTGACAACAAGAACATATTGCATGTTCTCTGGCTCCTTCTAGTGGACAGTTCTGGTCAATATATCATGAAAATACCAATTTCTAGTTTTTTTCCTTTAATATTTTCATAACTCAGATAAGTGAAACCGTGGATCCTGATCCCATGGATATGGGGATCCTACTGAATAATAAGTCACAGTTATAGGCCCACTTGAATCAGTGGAACATATGGAAGAGTCAACTCACTAAATCCCCATTGATCCAATGGCCAACTCTAATCATTGAATCAATTGAATATATGGAAGAGTCAACTCACTTAATTCCCCATTGATCCAATGGCCAACTCTAATGCAATTTACTATGCCACCCAACAGGATTTGGTCATTCGAAGTAAGCAGGAGAAGCTCGTGGACTGAGCTGGGAGGGAGGGCTTCACCCCCCAAAAAATATGGTTGTTCCCCCTGAACCAATCACGAGCCATCTACAGAAGTAAGAATGGGGGGGGGTTAAGGTCAAACGTATGTCCTAATTTAGTGGTTCCCAACCTTGGGTCCCTAGATGTTCTTGGACTACAACTCCCAGAAATCCTGGTCAGCTTCTGGGGGTTTTAGTTCAAGAACATTTGGGGATCTAAGGTTGGGAACCACTGCCCTAATTAATACCCCACTTGAAAATGAAAACATGTCCGTGTTTCAGCATCGCTAGTTCCTGAGTACTGGAGCAGCCAGAAGCCAATTAAAGCCTTTGCTTGCATCTGCCCGACCAAACACACGACAAAGAAAGCAAAATTGCAAACTGCAGGAGAACAGAAGAATTTCTGTGGTGATCAACTGAGGGCTTCCAACACTTGAGGATCTTCCACTTCTAACACGTTCTTCATCCTGCCTCCTTCAACCTTGAACCTTACTGATCACACAAGATTCTCCCCTTGCTTAAGATCAGCAACCCGTATTAGAACTGAAGGGAGGGAAGAAGATCCTCACTGTTATCTCTGATCAGTGATGGGAGATGGAAGGTCTTCCCTTCTCATCGTACTCCCTGTTCCAAGGTGCCCGAGCTGGTTGAAGCGAAAACAGGAGGAAAAAAAACTTCTCCCAGCGCTATGGCCAGAAATCTGATCTCAACACACATTGTTAAATTCTGTTTTGAATCAACTGATTCCCCCACATTGCTTTCTGGTGATGTGAACGTGCCTCTTGAACCAGAGGAAATTTTAGCTAAAAGCAGTGTGTGCATTTAACAAGAGAATAACCCTATAAGGAAAAAGTATCTAATCCAGTTTCTCCTGTTCAGGTAAACCCTGTTTTCTTCCAGTGGTCTTTAATCCACTTGAAAACTGGTTGGTTACGATGTAGGCACTTTGGACGCTTTCCCAAAACCCAACTGACCTTGTTTGCTACTCAATCAAATAATCTCAGTTCATGTACTTGCCAAGACTTCCAGGCCACTGAACCTCACAGAGGAGCACCATGTAACTGCCATGGAACTTTCTCGCGCCATCCTTCTTTCTGTAGAACAAGCATGGATGTTTTGGGAGATGTTTTTTAAGGGAGCGTTGCACCTCGTGGCTTGGAATCTGCTTTCGGTCTTGATGCGGTTCACCGTTTTTAGGACGGTATTTGCTTGGTCCCTTTGAATATTTGTATCCTTACTGTTTTTCGCTTTTAAATATTGTCTTTTAGTAACGTAAGCCACCTCATGTCCTTTTTAAAGTGGACGGGTGGGTTAAACAAAATGTTTTAAATAAACAATTAATAAAGAGAGAAATCATGGCCCAGCTGCAGAAACACAATGGAAAGTTGGCCAACGTTTATGCCAAAGAAGGGAAATTCAGCAAACGAGGATTTCCCCCCATTTCTGTGTGACACTCCCCCCCCTCCAGTTTGGAAAAGTTGCTTTATTTCTGGCTCAATGATTCCAGGAACAGTGGTTCATAACGTTCCTAGTCTTCCAGCCTCAAACCAGCTGCTTTCCCATGACACCGTCATTGCTCTTGGGTTTTCTTCCCCTCCCTCTTTTTCATCTCTCTCCTCTCCCTTTGTTCAGCTGAAGTTAAGAGCACTTGGCTTCAGCTCCCCAGGTATGGGACTCAGGAGCGCCAAAGGCTGGCAAGACCCAGCGGGCACATGGTAATTTTAGCCTTCGTTTCTGGAGAGACAAGCCGAAGCGTCTTGGTTCGCATGGATGGGCAGATGACAGGTGCCGGATGGGCCCAAAGGTGCCTCCCCAGCCAACTCACAAGAGCATGTTTCTGTCTTAAAAGCACAGACTTCTCCCTCCCCATCCAACTCAGCACAAAGTTTAATCTCAACTCCTTTGTATCACTTCCTGTGCTAACAGAAAAGGGGAAAAATCTTGGGTACAAAAGTGTAATGCATAAGCTGTGAGTGACTCTCGGAAATGACAAGATACAGTGGTGCCTTGCTAGACAGTTACCCCGCATGAGAGTTTTTTCGCTAGACATTGACTTTTTGCGATCGCTATAGCGATTCGCAAAACAGTGATTCCTATGGGGGAATTTCACTGGACAATGTTTGGTCCCGGCTTCACAAACAGCTCCCTCCGCGCTCGCAAAACAGGTGTTTTCGGGACCTAAGCTTCGCAAGACAGTGATTTAAACAGCTGATTGGCAGTTCGCAAAGCGGCTTTCCTATGGCCGATCTTCGCTAGACAACAACGATTCTTCCGCATTGGAACACATTAAACAGGTTTCAATGCATCCCAATGGGGAAATGCTTTTTGCTAGACAATGATTTCGCTAAACAGCGATTTCAGTGGAACGGATTATCATCGTCTAGCAAGGCACCACTGTACAACTTTCTGAGGGGGTTCAGGCTCTTGTTGTTGTTGTTATAGGTGGCATCAAGTCATCTCTGAACCCACGGCGACTCTATGAATGAGCCATCTCAAAATTGTCCTCCTCAGCTCTTGTATATTCAAGTACAAAAAAGTAAAGCAGTATCCACGGGATCACTATCTGCTGATTCACTTATCCACTGTCTGAAAATACTAAACAAAGAAACCAAGAATGATGTGTCTTTGGATCGTGGCTTCTGCAGGCGATCCATTCCAAGTCTCACCCCTGCAAATGCCAAATTTTTAAAAAAGCGGAAGTAGCAGATGCTGTGCATAGCATTGTTTCTGGCTCCCTCAAGTGCCTAAGTCTGGTAAATACACTGTGGAAATACATATAAATATGAATTTCTGGGTGGCTTATTTTATTTTATTTTAGTATTTTCAGGCAACGGGTGGGTGGATAGTGATCCCGTGGATAGGGAGTCCTACTGTATTTCTGATCTCTTACTTTATGTGTCTCTCCAATCTTGTGGAATACCTGTGCATCCAAAGAATGAACCTTTATGAACCATGAACCGGCGGTTCATGCCCTTCTCTATCCAGGAGAGATTCCTCCATCCAGCATACTGTGGCATAGTTTTGAATTTCGGATAAACTCCTTTAGCTGCGCCACAGGAACTAGCAGAGCAGAATTAGGTTCATGACACCACAAAATAGAATACCTCTTACTGTCTCATCAACTGGCATTTACAGTCTCAGTGAGTCACTCTGAGACATAGGTAAGGGGGGAGGTTTGATTTACTCACAGATGAATAGATCAAAAACAGTACACTGTAGAAAATTGACTGCTTACTGCTACTGGCCTCACCACAGTCACAGTCTGCTTCCAGCTGACTCACCCAGCTGCACAAACTCCATCACTAACTGCCAGCAGACAAAAAGAGAGGGGAAAAGACACTTAAGCAGAGAGCCGTGGCTTTCTTTGAAATCAGAAGCAGAGGAGGAATGATTGGCTGCTGCTGGACTGACTGCTTGAGCACCAGGAAGAGGGTGGGATCCTGGCTTGCAGAACCCTCTCATGATTTCATTTGACAATCTGCAATTAAAAGCATTCCTTGCACAGGAAAGAGGTAGGTTTCTGGTTGAAGGATTCAATTGCTGCCACCCATCGTGATCAACGCATGACACATCTCAAGGATCGCTGAGTTAGACAGCCAGCAGTGGGAGCCCAGGCTTCATTTCCTCTGGAAACACAAGAGCCAGCCAAATCTTGTTCGGTCCCCCAAAATGGCTGATCACAGCCAATATTTTCAAAAACTCAAGCTGCATGAATGTCGAAAGATCTATGGCCAAAGTCTATGGCCAACAGACGATGGCCTTACTGCTGATTATTGCAACCTCAGATGGAGGCGGAGCTTGGAGAATCGGGGGTGTGGCCTAGAATCACCACAAGAGGGAGACAACCATGTGTTGTTTATGAGGAATATTTGGTGTGGCAAAAATGCTTCCTAATTCTCTCATAAATCATCCCCCTTCTCTTCATCAGTCTTGTGAAGGCCGACAGCCATGTGGACCTTTTTAAAATCTTACCCTGAACTGATGGATGCCAGAAAAGTTACTTTTTAGGGTGACACCTTTCAAAACCACCTTACCATCAAAGGCAGTATTGCCGTATTCCATGTTCGCTGGAGGGGTTTGTGAGAATTAGATTTTTTTAAAAGTTACATTTACAGACTTGGAGTTCATAATAGCAGCTGTCTTCTTGGCACCGTGTTCACTGACACATTAAAAGCCGCAAACCTTCACAAGCCGTTGGCACCATATAAATGTAAGATGTTTCGGGAAATTTGATCTTTGTGGATTTCAGTACAATTTAAGTGTTCATCTGCAGTTTCAGGACTAAATGTGCAAACTGCGAATTCATGATCCAGCAGCTTCACACCTCCTAAATGTGTCAAAACAGTTCTGGGCTGGAAAATGTACCAAAATGTATTCTGACAGAAGTTTCACAGAGAAGGCTTCACACGAATTTGTAAATAAATCTCACATTTGCAGAAGAAAGAAGACACACACAAAAAGGACACCGAATAAGCCTAGAACAATTGGCCCGTCTCACCATCAAATAGGGTTGTGTTGGGCCAGTATTGTCCACTTTTGACAATCCCAAGGGTTTACAGAGCCAGAATAATTGGCATCTACCAGGCTGGCTCTTCTCCCTAGAGGCCCAGCAGAGAATCGAACTCCCAACCTTCTGGTTCCTCAGCCAGAGACCTAAACTACTGAACTATCCAATGAATAAATCCATGACCCTAAAACACTGCAATTCTCTCATTCTGCATCAAAACATCCAATCCTTCACTTTACACAGTTCGTGCATCAATATTCTTTTCCTAACAAGCTGCATTAAATTCACCTATAAGCAAAAGGCCTTTTTTTTGTCTTTCTGAGTTTTTGTTTTTAACTGGGAGCGGAGAAGCTGGCTGCTGCAGCAAGGATGTGTCTAGACTAAATCTTCTGAGATTGTTTTCCTTTTGGATTTACAATGGATTTCACTGTTGTGTTCATGACGTGGAAAGGCACCCAGTGCTTAAATCTCCATCTGCAAAAAATCTATCCGTCTCTTCCATTACCACCATCAGCAACAGGCTTGAGAGTTTCCCCCCAGATCTTAGTTATTTCACAGCTGATCTGCCCTTCAGATCATTTTGGCTTGATCTGCAAGTTCACAGAAAGCTAGTTGTCAGTCTTTTACATACATCTGATTACCTTTTTCCTCCCACCCTTTGCTCCAGTGAGAAAACCACTACCCACTACTCCATCCATCCATCCATCCATTCAGATTTCTTTTCACCCACTCTCCCATGAACATCAGATCCCAGGAACGGGACAAAACTTGCTTTTTTGTGTGTGATTCATAGAATTTCGCACAGCCGTTCACTTCGGTGATTAAGTTCCTGGGGAACCTCTCCATAAAATCCTTCCTTCCGTGTCCAGAGCAAAGCATGCCTTTCCTCCAAGCCCACGGCTGAGATTTCCCTCCCCAGCTGTGCTTGCAGCTAGCCAAACATTGTTGGCTCTCTTCAAGAAGGCCAAGAGGTCACCTCATTAATACTCAGTTCACATTCTCTGCTCTCCCAAGAGAAAAAAAAGGAGGGAGGTTTGGGGGCGCTCCAAACAAAATTCGCACGCTTCCGAATTCACAAACTTCATCTGTTGTGTTGAATTTCAATAAGGACCGCTCTCCAAACAGCCCACATCCTGTCATTCTTCTGCAAACATGGCACTCACCTCAGTGTCCTTTTTTGCAGCTGGGCACTTTTTCACAGGTCCTTTCGTCCAACCTTCTCCTTTAATTGCAATCAACAGCTTTGGTCTCATCTTCTCATCAATGAGAAGAAGCCAGGCTACCAACCTCAAAGGATAAAAGAGGGATTGGTTTCTTAAGGTCCACCCAGAGTGGGAGGGGCATAAGGCCATCCGTGGATTTGTGGATGTTACCTCTGAGAGACTGGAAAAAGACTGAAGGGGAGCCCAAATGTATTTACCAAATGGCCACATTATAAGGCAGGAGATTTTAGAGGAAGAGGAAGAGAACGAGAGAGAGAGAGAGAGAGAGAGAGAGAGAGAGATGGTAAGATTTGATTAGGCACTCCCTATGCTTAAATCGACACAAAATACGAAAATTCCATCTTGACATTTTACAGACAGGTTTTCTTGAGGATTTTCCCTTGTAAAAGGATACAATTGGCACAGCAAATGGAGAAAATTTTTCCCATCATTGAAAAGCTCTACGGGAATTAACTTCGTGGTTGCAGTCGTTATTTTTAAGTTCTGTATTTGAAAGATGCACAATAAAGTGTGTGTGGTTTTTTTCATCCCTTCAAAGTCATTTTCCTCACATCCTCTCTTCCTGGTCTCCGCTCTGAGCAAGATCGCTGCTTGAGCTGATTTGACATATCCCCCCCCCCAAAAAAAGCATTCTTTGGAACCAATCGGGTGCGGTGGACTTTTAAAAATGTGAATCCGATTAGGAAGCCTGCCTCGTTAAGATATTCTGGAGGAAAGGCTGGAAAGAGAAGCAGAAAGGAGGTCAGGCACACAAAAGGAACTTTGTTTGCCATTGTGAGGCCATCGGAGGCTGGTTTTTCGGATGTGCGTTTTGCCACGGTTTTCCAAACCCAGGAGCATGGCACAGCTCTCGGATTTAAAAAGTCACACCCCTTTTGCCCCTCGGCGGATGAACCTCAGCCTGGAGGGTGGGGGGGGAGAGAGTGTTCTTTTTAAAAAATCATTATCTTATCACCAAATCATGTCTTCCACTGGAAATTAAAGAGAGAGTGACATAAGGGAATGTGTTGCGACATTTCGCTCAGAGCAAGAAAGCATCTTGACACAGATGGTCGAAGGAGAATTGTTTAAACACAACCATAAACTTTAAAATCTTAATCTGAAGACAGAGTTCGGAGGACCACAATAAATACTAAACTGCTTTGTAAGCCACTGAAAGAGACGTGTCTTTGTAATAACAAATAATCATGCGCTATCAAATCAGTGGCAACTTAGGGCTACCCTTTCCAGGGTTTTCAAGAGATAAGGCCTGTCCAGACTCTATTGAACTTGAGAGAAGGGGTGATGTGGCATTTGCTATGCTCCTCTCATCTGGACAGTAAACACTTGGCCTAGACAGCTGTCGATTCAGCACTTCCCCTGATCATCTATCTGCATACAGTCAGGGGAAGTGAAATAATTTTTTTTTCTAAAGTTGCTCCTCTCTCTCTCTCCCGGCACTGTTTCATTTTCTCCCTTCCTGCCTCCCTGCTTCCCTCATTCTTCCCCCACTTTCTCTCTTCTCTCTCAGAATCTGCTGCCGTGATGGCAGAGGCTGCTGGGGGCAGCTCTCTCCCAGCTTAAACAACAAGCATGCCTAAAAGAATGCATGCCCTAGTACTGGGCCAGAAAGGTGTGCAACGGCTCTTAAAGGGGAAGGATGGATCCATTCTAAGTTTTTTCTTTTTGGTCCAAACCGTGCCATCGGTCATTCATATACCATATCTATACACCGGTGTGGACAGGCCCATAAAGTACTCAGAAGTGGTTTCCCAGTCTAGCCAAAGTGAGAAGTGAGAACAATTCTGATGGATCTTAGTATGCTAGTGGTTTTATTTGGTTTTTGGCTGTCATTTCCTGTAAACAGCAGAAGCAAGAACTGAGGGTGATGAGGTAGGTGTGCACGGGGCAACTTCTGGCGTATCATGTTGCTTTTGACCGACTGACAGAGAGAGTTCTCTTCAAATATACTGGTATTTTACCCCATACATAACTATTCCGAGTTCTGTTGGCAAAATTTAAGAGAGAAGAGGGGGAAGGGGTGAAAGAGAGGGGGGAAAGGCAAAATGTTGAACTATTTCCAAGATTTCCAAACTATTTCTTTCTCTTGCTAATATTTATCTAAAACTCAGTTCTACAAATCACTAAGAGAGGTAAATGTCACATACAGTTTTCATCCCTCGTGGCAATCAAAAAGCCCAGCTCTGCTTCCCAGATTTTCGAGAGCCCTCTCGTGGTAACTGCTGAGCATGGCATGTCCAGACCAAAAGAAAAAAAAGGAAAAGAAAAAAAGAAAAAAAGCTAAAAGTGAACAAAAACGGTTAGGGTACCTTGAAAGCTAAAGGTTATAGTTCATTGTAAGCTTTCTTGGGTTCATCCATAAGGCAGGTGATTCTGTTCTTGCATTGGAACGTCAAAATCATTTTTTGAGTCGAAGCATCGAATTAAAATTAATAAGCACACCAGATAATTTTTGCCCAGTAACGGGCAACCTCAAGAGTGTTTGAGGAAACTAGCAGCAAGTCTTCCATGCCACCAGGGGGCGGAGAGTGCATTGACAACCCAGTGAGCTGGCTGGATAGCACAGTGGTTTCATTTGTCTGAAGAGCCAGGGGATAAGAGTTTCAATCTTCACTGTGCCTCCTGGGAGTAGAGCCAGTTCTGCTCCGTAACTTATTCAGTCATTTCCAAACAACCCAGTGAGCTAGCTGGATAGCACAGTGGTTTCATTTGTCTGAAGAGCCAGGGGATAAGAGTTCCAATCTTCACTCCTGGGAGTAGAGCCAGCCTAGGTGGCTTTGGGCAAGATGCACAATCCCAGGGCGCCCTCTGGAGGCAGGCAAGGGGAAACCACTTCTGAATGTTCTATACAGTGGTGCCTCGTTAGACAGTTACCGCGCATGACAGTTTTTTTGCTAGACATTGACTTTTTGCGATCGCTATAGCGATTTGCAAAACAGTGATTCCTATGGGGGAATTTCGCTGGCCAATGTTTGGTCCCTGCTTCGCAAACCGATTTTCGCTAGACAACGATTTTGACAGCTCCCTCTGCGCTCACAAAACAGGTGTTTTCAGGATCTAAGCTTCGCAAGACAGCGATTTAAACAGCTGATCGGCGGTTCGCAAAGCAGCTTTCCTATGGCCAATCTTCGCTAGACAACGACGATTCTTCCTCCCCACTGGAATGCATTAAACAGGTTTCAATGCATTCCAATGGGGAAATGCTATTCGCTATACAATGATTTCGCTAAACAGCAATTTCAGTGGAACGGATTATCATTGTCGAGGCACCACTGTACCTGGGAAACTCCAGCTGCCAGAAGTCAGAATTGAATTGACAGCATAGGGTTATTATTATGCACTCATTTAGCCAGCCGGATAACTTAGTGATTTAGGTATCTAGTTGTGGAGCCAGAGGTTACTGGATAACTTAATGATTTAGGTATCTAGGTGTGGAGCCAGAGGTTGGCAGTTCAATTCCTCCACTGAGCCTCCTGTGATCAAAGCCAGCCTGGGTGGCCTTGGGCAAGCTGCACAGTGTCGTGATAACAAAGAAGAAGGGGACGGGGGAAAATCACTTCTGAGTATTCTCATGTTAGAAAAATCTGAAATGGGGTGGCCATAAATTAGAATGGACTTGACCGCACAAGATTATTTTAAGTAACTCCAATTCTCTATGTGACTGGGGGCTACAATTGCACCCACGGAGAGGGCTACCGAAGGGTAATGGGCACGTCATCCCTGCTCTGTGATCCTATGTGTGAGCCAATGCTCACCCCTTCCCAAACCCCCTTCCCAAACCCCCTTCCCAAACCTCGTATAGACCAGGAGAATTTGGGTAGAATTCTCCATTTGGAAGCAACTGATGTCAGCAAGAGAACGGACGGTTGGTTAGCGTCACAAAGGGTATCGGTTGAAGAAGAATCCTTTGGAGTTGTCCTCGAGAAACCTCAGATGTTGTTAAGTGAAATGTACATTACAAAGCAGGGGGGTTCGGGGCCCCATTGATGTTCTCCTGTTGCCAAAATCCCGGTTGTTTCGTGCAGTTTGAGAAAGAAACTGTTAGTTAGAGGCAACAACCAGCAATGACTGCAGGGAAAAAAAGATGAATAATATAAAATTCAATAAACAAATCTGTTTAATCTGGGTTCCTGGGTGAGTTTTAAATGACAGAATGCACTTTTTCTTAAAAGGGCAGGCATAAGCGGAATAAAACAGATGTCAATAACTTACTGGAGCCTCCAGAGAGCGCCATACACTCAGAATCTGCAGATTCTCATTCTCTGGAGATTCTCCGGAGCACTCCCAAAATGTTTATTCCTGGATGCTTAAAAGCACCATTAAATATGCAAATTATCAGTCTTAGATTTAGCCTTTCAGACCTGCGAAGGGTCACATGGTTTCTCTGCCGAGTCCCAGGCAAATTCTTCAGAGGTGGGATGCACTGCAAATTGTGGTAGGATTTGAATCCAAGTCCAGAGACTACATTCTGTGTGGAAAAGACTATTGGTAATGGCATCTTTGTAATAGCCACTTCAGTGTGTGTGAAAGAACATACCCTGAACTCCTTATTTCCCCAGATTAACCCATTACTAGGTTTTGTTCCAGGTGTCTGGCAAACTAACTAAATAATTGGAAGGAGAAGATGATGAATTAATATTCTTGCTGTCAGAACAAGATTATGAGAATAGTGTGGTACAGACCATGAATACCAAATGATAGGGTCAAGGTGAAGAAGAACACTAAAACAAACAGAGTGACAAAATATAATTTAAATACCATTCCAGAAGAATTCAAGGACCTTGTGGAGAACATGGAAGCTAAGGACCTTGTGAAGAATTTGCTTTACTAATTTCAACTGATTATGAATCAGAAGACCTGTGAACTGAAATCAGATATACTATCTGAGAAGAGGTACCAAAGAGATTGTATTGCCAATATATAGTGGCTATTGGAGCAGATGGCTTTAGCATTGACAGTGAAGAAATGGAAATAGTTGAATCGATTTTCTTGGTCATCAATCCAAATGCAGCCAAGAAATCACCGATTTTCTTGGTTGAGTCATCAATCCAAATGCAGCCAAGAAATCACCTGGAAAGAGAACTATAAAGGGAAAGATCCTTAGATGTAAATATGTGTCACCAAAAGTCAAGGAGCAGCCATACTATTACAACTATTCCTAAGTAGCATCTTCAGTTGTGAGAGATGAACAGTGAAGTCAGCTGATAGGAAAAATATTGATTTGTTCAAAATGTCAGGTTGCGGAACACTTTATTGATTTCATTTGTCTGTTTGGAATGTTTTTATCCTTCCTTTCTTCTTAAAAGGACACAAGACAATTTTATTGACACCGTGGATTGCCAGAAAGGACATATCACACTCTCTGGAAATGACAATAATGCTAGGGAAAGTGGCATGCAGTAGAAAAAGAGAAAAATCTAATGGATTGACTCAGTAAAGGAACCCACTGCTTTGAGTTTGAAAAGCTTGAGCAAGGCTGTTAATGAGAGGACCTTCTGGAGGTAATTTGTTGTTTAGTCGTTAAGTCATGTCTGACTCTTCGTGACCCCATGGACCAGAGCATGCCAGGCCCTCCTGTCTTCCACTGCCTCCCGGAGATGGGTCAAATTCATGTTGGTTGCTTTGATGACCCTGTCTGTCCATCTCGTCCTCTGTCGTCCCCTTCTCCTCTTGCCTTCACACTTTCCCAACTCTGGAGGTAGTTAGGGCCACCATAAATCAGAAGCAATTTGGTGGCACATAACAAAAATAGGATTGAGATATTCCTTTCTTTTGCTATTCATAAATATGTTTCCTAAGTTACCGTTTTATAAATGGAAAGGGGGAGACTCATAAAAGATGGAGGTTCATGGCACTAGGAGCAGTGCAGAATTTATCTGTTATTTAATGAAGGACTCAGAGCCATCCAATGAAACGGACTGCTGACCGCGTCAGAGTGAAAATAAGAAAATACTGTATATTCCTTCCTGTGAGGCAGTACAAAGCTATAATAATTCCTTGCCTCCAAGATCCTTCAGTAGCCATCAGCTGAAGCATGGCACACCCATGCAGTAAAACAAGATGAACCATTTCTCAGGCTGAAGTGGACAGCCACGGAAGCTCCTGTGAGGTAGGGAACGGGTTAAAAACCACTCCTTCAATATCTCCCATACTTTGAAAGCCCTGTTTGGGTCACTGGAAGTCAATGTTTCTGACTTGACCGCACCTACTAACAAGAACATGGAATGGCCAGTGAGACTTCAGAGGGCTTTTTAATATTTTTCACTCCTTCACCATTGGTTCGGTTGCTTGCTCTCAAAATGGCAGCAATCCGCTCGGTTTCCTCGTGCGATGCAGAGAGAGGAGATCCGTCAGCAAGCTGAGGTGGTCCGAAATCAACAGCAGTTGGCTTCCCGCTTCCATGTCCTGGCTGAAGAGGAAGAGGTACAGTTTCACAAAAATGTCCAAGAATTCCAGGCAGACCACCAGGCCCAAGAGGAGCCACATGATTTTGGACAAGAGGAGAAGCAGGCAGTTTTGCATGGCCTGGGACTCTTGGACCAGCTTCGCCTGGACCATCTCATGGAGCAAAGAGGGGAAGTTGGTGCTCTCGCCCGGGCCCGACCTCAGGAGCGAAGCCTCTTCCAGTTGCTCTCGGAGGCCGGCGAGTTCGTTCTCCTGAACTTCGCGGATCTGTTCCAGTTCGTCCAGGGTGCGCTTCAGCTCGGCGGTTTGGTTCTGCTCCTCCATGTACCGCTGCTTGGCGGTTTCAATTTTCCCCTCCAGCTGCTTGAAGTACGTCACGATGTGTTCCATCACCTGCTTCATCCGAGAGACATCGTGGTCCTGCATGGCCTTGTAATCTTGAAACAAAACAACGTGGCTGGACATTGTTTGGGTCTCAGTCCTGAGCCCCTGGTTGGTTTCGTTCAAACTCTGGTTTTCAGCCTCCAGACGCAGAATCGTGTCTTCCAGCTGCCGTAGTGTTGCCTGGAGTTCCCCCTCTTCCTTCTGAAGGTCTTCTGCCATGGCCTTGAAGCAGTCAATTTTGGCCTCCAGGTTCCTGTTCTCCTCTTTCATGCCCTGGTTCTCTGTCATAATCTCCTGCTTTTCAGTGTCCAAGTTGGCGGCTGTCTCTCTCAGTTCCCATATCTCGTGTTGTAAATGTTCTTTGGCCTCTGTTAGAGGGCTCACTGCAGATTGATCCATGGCACCAGGTCCGACCGTCTTGGTTTCTGGAATGGCCTATGTGTCCGTGGGCTCTGTCCAGGTGAAAAACCAAAGTGCAAATGAAATACAAACAGAAATTTTTAAAATGGCACTTTAGGAACAAGCAGACTTTTCAAGTCTGGGCCTATTCACACAGAGCATTTGAATCATTCCTTTCCCCTGTTTTTTAATATTGATATATTTTTATAGTCATGTGGCATATACTGTATACCGCTGGGCCCATTCACATGGCTGTTCAATTCAGTTGGTATATTTCTTGCTATTTGTACCAGTTCTGGAGGCTACACATATCATATACAGTGGCGCCTCGCTTAATGATGATAATCCGTTCCAGGAAAATCACCGTTAAGCGAAAACATTATAAACGAAATTAAAAACCCCATTGAAACCTGTTCAATGCGTTCCAATGAGGTACAAAACTCACCATCCAGCGAAGATCCTCCATACGGCAGCCATTTTCGCTGCCTGTATAGTGAGGAATCCGTCCCTAAACACGGCGGGGAGCCATTTTAAGTACCCGGTGGCCATTTTGAAAATACGACAATCAGTTGTTTTTGATCGTCGTAAAGCGAAAATTGGTTCCTGAAGCAGGGAACCGATCATCGCTAAGCAAAATCCCCCCATTTAGACCATCGTTTTGCGAGCGCAATTGCGAGCGCAAAAAGATTGTCGTAAAGCACATGCATCGTAATGCGGGGCAATCGTTAAGCGAGGCACCACTATACAAATCAATTCATTTTCTGACGTGTTTCTGGGTTCCCGCTGCTCTAAATTTTTCTTTTAAAAAATTTTGTAGGTGATAAATCACTAATCACTACTGTGGCATATACATGCCACTGTCCTGACAGTTCCAACGGTTAGTCTATGTGCTAGCTGGTGGGATATGCCACTAGATAAATGTTGTTGAAAAGTTAGAGGGGGAATTAACTATAAAACTATAAGCCACACAAAAGCAGGGACAATGGTTACAATAGGGAAGACATTGGCTAAGTGAACATCGATAAACTGTTGTGGGAAAAATATATAGAAAGTGATTTATCGCTAAGCATTAAAAATATTTTTAAAGTGTACAAACATGTGGCCCATGTGGTGGCCATGGCACCCAATAAACCCAACCCGTCTGAAAAATAAATAAATTGACAGCAACATTCACACATGCCAAAATGATATGGATTGAAGCAATATAGGGACTGGATCATTTTTAAAAGGACATGCCAGTGAGGTGGGAAAAAAACTGATTGGCCAGCCCAGTGAATTGGTGTTACCTGTGCATCATGTGAATAGAAATTTATAAAAATAACGGCAGAATTGATAAAACTGAGTTCTTTTGGCCTATGTGACTCTACCCTCTGTTTCTGTGTTTGGTCCAAGAGGTGTGTAATTGGGTCGATCCATAATAGATGCCCAATATCTCTATGTCATCTCAGCATTGTTGGGCTTTTTTGCGACTGTTTTTGAAGGTAGCACATTAAAAATCATCATGTCCTAATTTTGTGAGCAAGGGAGGCTGAAAACACCACGTGAGCGATGGCATGACAGAATACCAAGCTTAGGACATTACTTTTTAAAGCCACCTTTTTTATTTTTTAAAGCCACCTTTTTTATTTTTTAAAGCCACCTTTTTTCCTTTTTAAAGCCACCTTTCTATTTTTAGAAATGTTATTTGTTGCATTGCCATTATCTGCTAAATATTAATTACTAGGACCCCCCCATATCTGTGGGGGATCAGTTCTGAGCCCTCCTGCAGATGCTGAAAAACAGGGATGAGAGTGAACGCTATTATAATAGCAAATTCTATACATATGGCATGCTCTCTGGCTCCCTCTTGTGGCCAGGTCTGCTAATTCCATCTCACGTCTCCTAGTGGCCAGTTCTGGTAACTACGTCATTGAAAAAATATATTTTAAGAATTTTTCCTTTAATGTTTTTCATATTTTCAGACTGTGGATAAGTGAATCAGCAGATACTGATCCCATGGATAAGGGGCCCTACTATATGGTGGCCTGGCCCTTCTCCTTGTTCTTTTAATGCATGCTGTGGGCAGGGAATGTTTGGTCTCTGACTCTCACATTTTCTGGATTGTATAATTCCAAGGTGAGCAACATGGGACCTACACGTTGCATCAATAAAAGAAAAAAAGGCATGCTGGCTTAAATCAGAGGCCTCAGCATCCTTCCTTTTGGGCTCAGCAGTTCTAGGTACCAGCAGAATGTGCCAACGCATAAAGCTGTCAATTAGGGGGAAAAATGGTTATGAAGACTCACAGTCCCATTGATCATGCCAATCCCCAGTTCTCTGCTTAGTTTTCCATGGAAAAAGGTGACCGTAGGTTTCCGCAGGTTTGGGTACATGCTCTTCGACAGATCTCCTTCAACCAATCTGAGAAGACCAAGGCTGGCTGATGGAACCCGGTGGGCTAGCTGAGGTCACAATCCTGCCTCAGATCCTCTGATGTTCTTAGTGGGCATGAAATCAGGAGGAAAGGAGGAAAGGTCACACTCCAAGGTGACACCCAACCAGCAGACCGGCTCTAAATGTGAATTACAATTCACAAAAGAGAAGGATTTGTTGGTCACATTGGCAGAAGTCTATCATATATTCAGTCCAATGGGGCAAATGTTGTCTCCTCCAGAAGCAGGCTATTTTCCCTGCGCCGCTCCCCCAGCCTGCTTCCTTTGTTTTCCCTCTTTCCTTATAACCAGTCCCTGGCAATGCATGCTTTTCTTCCAGATCTATAGCCAAAGGCCCCTGAAACACAGCTTGTACACACCCTGGTATTCAAATACGGCAAAACAGAAGACTTCGGAATGATCCAGCCCACATCTGCCCTATTTGTGATGTTCATATTTCAGTATTTCCAGTCCAGTGAAAAAGAACATCGCCAGTCATGTTCCAAGTGGCTGCAGATAATCTGAGCACACCTAAATCCTAACCAATTGAATCTTTGTTTGTTTTTGCCACCTACAAATGTCATATCGCCAGAGGGAAATGTCACTTCCGGCAGCAGGATCCATGCAGGAAGAGAGAGTGCCCTACGATCTGACGGGTGTCATTATGCATCCATGACATCCTTTCCAGAGCCCCACAGCATGGGTGTGCATGGAATAAATACAACTCCTAAAGCAGCATTTTGCTGTAAAAGCAGAACTTTAAAAATTCATGCAATGACTTATTTGAAATAGTCAAAATCAACAAGATATTAACTCTTTGGCAGGAGATACATATTCCAAGCACAAGTTTTTTTGGTACCTCTGTCAGCATTCTTGCCGAACAGCTAAAAGGTGCGTGACCTACAGAAGGGGGTGGCCACTTGGTCTTCAAAGAAAATAAATGGACATGCTACAGAAAGGTTGATATTTTGATCCCATGTTTCCTTTTCCTCCAGTTGTGGGGTTTGTTTTTTTTCGGCACAGTAACCAGAGGTGGAAAATATTTGAAGGACTGTAGACCTGTATTTGGCACAGCCGTTAGTAGCAAAACCGGATGCTATATTTACTCAGGGGTAAGCGCTACTGGGATCAGCAGGGTCTCCTCAAAGGAAAGCTATTTCAGGTTCATTCATTCTGCCAAGCCAGTGGCCAGGGGTGGGCGGCTGTGACCCTCTAGAGGTTTCCCTATGGCTGCTCGCATCCTCTCCTGCCATTGGTGATGCTGGCTTGGCTTGACTGAAGTTGTAAGCCAAGAATACTTAGAGGCTGACAGTTGCTACCGTGTTTCCCCGAAATTAAGGTAAAGGTTCCCCTTGACATTTTTAGTCCAGTCGTGTTCGACTCTAGGGGGCGGTGCTCATCCCTGTTTCCAAGCTGTAGAACCAGCGTTTGTCCGAAGACAATCTTCCGTGGTCACATGGCCAGTGAGACTTAGACACGGAACGCTGTTTACCTTCCCACCGAGATGGTACCTATTTATCTACTTGCATTTGCATGCTTTCGAATTGCTGGGTTGGGCGAGGAGCTGGGACAAAGCGACAGGTGCTCCCTGTTGGGCGAGGAGCTGGGACAAAGCGACGGGAGCTCACTCCGTTGCGTGGATTTGATCTTACGACTGCTGGTCTTCTAACCCTGCAGCATACAAAGGCTTCTGCGGTTTAGCCCGCAGCGCCACCACGTCCCGAAATTAAGACAGGGTCATATATTAAGTCTGTGTTCTACAGGTTAGTATGAAAGGCATGCCCTTATATTTGTTCAGATTTGTCTGTTCTATACAAATCTTATCCACACTGGAGAAGTTATTTTGAGCATAAAGATTAAGATATTCGCTCTACAAATAAAAGAACAGATGATCCTCATAGGATAACTGTCTGGTTGCAACTAGACATCTGTGGGTATGCTTCTGTGCATAGTCTGGGGAAAAAAATCACAGTTTGGGGCCCGAATCCTACCGGGTCAAACTGCTCACATCATGGACTGATGTGACATTATCACAGCTTGTACCACGGCCGCAAGCAATTGATCCTTGCTCACGTTCAACAGAATCAACAGGATCTTGACCTTGAATTCTACCCAGTTGCTAACGCTGGCTGGGGATTATGGGAGTGATAGTCCAAAAAAGCAACTTTCCGGTTCTCAGCAAAAAGCCTTCATCCAGAGAGTCTCAGAAAAAAAATATTTAGATTCCATGTTACCCGAGGGATGGTCTCCTGCTTGCCCAGACCCCAAGGCCATTGTCAAAACGCCACACCCTCCTGGTGTCCCTGCCAAATCTGGGAAGCTATTATGTAGAGGGCCTTTCTAGCGGTGACCCTGATTGTGGAACACAACACCCCCACCCCTAAGAGAAGCTCAAGGCTGAGGTCTTTCGGGGACTCTGTGAAGCCTGTTCTATTGTGGTTGTTGTGGGTTTTTCAGGCTCTCTGGCCGTGTTCTGAAGGTTGTTCTTCCTAATCTAGATGCCGGCCACAAAGACTGGCGAAATGTTAGGAAGAACAACCTTCAGAACATGGCCAGAGAGCCCGAAAAACCCACAACAACCATTAGATCCCAGCCATGAAAGTCTTCTCTACAGGTTAGTATGAAAGGCATGCCCTTATATTTGTTCAGATTTGTCTGTTCTATACAAATCTTATCCACACTGGAGAAGTTATTTTGAGCATAAAGATTAAGATATTCGCTCTACAAATAAAAGAACAGATGATCCTCATAGGATAACTGTCTGGTTGCAACTAGACATCTGTGGGTATGCTTCTGTGCATAGTCTGGGGAAAAAAATCACAGTTTGGGGCCCGAATCCTACCGGGTCAAACTGCTCACATCATGGGCTGATGTGACATTATCACAGCTTGTACCACGGCCGCAAGCAATTGATCCTTGCTCACGTTCAACAGAATCAACAGGATCTTGACCTTGAATTCTACCCAGTTGCTAACGCTGGCTGGGGATTATGGGAGTGATAGTCCAAAAAAGCAACTTTCCATTTTTCATAAAGAAGACTTCATCCAGAGAGTCTCAGAAAAAAAAATATTTAGAGGCCAAGTTACCCGAGGGATTGTCTCCTGCTTGCCCAGACCCCGAGGCTATTGTCAAAAGGCCACACCCTCCTGGTGTCCCTGCCAAATCTGGGAAGCTAGGTATTATGTAGAGGGCCTTTCTAGCGGTGACCCCCTGATTGTGGAACACAACACCCCCACCTCCAAGAGAAGCTCAAGGCTGAGGTCTTTCGGGGACTCTGTGAAGCCTGTTCTATTGTGGTTGTTGTGGGTTTTTCAGAGGGTTTGGCCATGTTCTGAAGGTTGTTCTTCCTGACGTTTCACCAGTCTCTGTAGCCGGCATCTTCAGAGGACTGGAGTAGGATCTCTACAGAGCATGGACAGAGTTCCTACTCCAGTCCTCTGAGCATGCCGGCCACGGAGACTGGCGAAATGTCAGGAAGAACAACCCTCAGGACATGGCAAAAGAGCCCGAAAAACCCACAGCAACCATCAGATCTTGGCTGTGAAAGCCTTCGAGAATACCTGTTCTATTGTCTTCGGCTTTTTAGTTCCCGTTTTTAAAAACAATGCTTAAATTGTTACCACTGCAGTCTTACCACTGCTCTTGGATTTACTTTTGTTACATTCTCTTTTATTGGCCAGAATCTTGTTGGTGATTTTGTTGTTTAGTCCTGTTAAGGTGCTACATTCAATATGCCATCAAGTTTGGAAAACTCAACAGTGGCCAGTGGACCAATACTAAAGAAGGGCAGTGCCAAAAAATGCCGTACAATTGCACTCATTTCACACACTAGCAAGGTTATACTAAAAATCCTCCAAGGTAGGCTTCAGCAGTATGTGGACCAAGAACTCCCAGAAGTACAAGCTGGATTCCGAATGGGCAGAGGAACTAGACACCAAATTGCTAACATGCGCTGGAATATGGAGAAAGCCAGAGAGTTCCAGAAAAACATCTACTTCTGCTTCATTGACTACGCAAAAGCCTTTGACTGTGTGGACCACAACAAACTATGGCAAGTCCTTAAAGAAATGGGAGTGCCTGACCACCTTGTCTATCTCCTGAGAAACCTATATGTGGGACAGGAAGCAACAGTTAGAACTAGATATGAAACAACTGATTGGTTCAAAATTGGGAAAGGAGTACGACAACTCCTTCCACAGGGGCTTCAAATGTTAACTGCAAGCCCAGAACTGTACTCAGCACTCCGCCCATTGAGAGGTTATTCTTCCCCCTTGCTAAGAAGGATTCTGGCCTGTGCTTTTCATTTCCATTTTGTGAACGACTCAAGAGCACTTTGGGAGTTGAGTGGCTTTAAGAATGTAAAGAAATACAGTGTGCAGACAACCTAAGATCTGTTGCCTTCTCCAGCTTGGCTTCCTCCTGATGTTATAGACTACAGCTCCTATCATCCCCCATCCTCAGCCATGCGGGCTGCAGCTGGAATCCCAACACCATTTGGAGGTCCATTCCCCATCGCTGGTGTAATAAAAAGAACACACAAAGTTGACGGAAAACCAGAACGGTGGAAACAGTAATGTGAATTTAATCACAGGGCAATTAATTTCACACATACACACACACACGATCAAACACGCAGCATTAGGCTCATTCATTAATGTCTTCTGACAAATGAAGAGGGGCTCATTCTAACTATCTCCGCGCCTTCTCTGTCTGCATGCACAGTGTCCACACGTCTGGTGGTTCAAAGAAATTCTACTGCCCTTCAGATTATAAAAGTTGTCCCTTTGTTCTGTTTCACTAGCTTCACTTTCAAGTAATCCAAACCGTGGCAGACTTTCAGTAGTTTAAGAACAGGGCTCCCGAGGGACCCAGGTAGCAGAAGCTCATTAGTAAAAACATGGTTGAAAAAGGTTCATATTTTCCTCCTCTCTCCACAAATTTCTTCAAACAAGACATTTAAAAAAAAACAGCATACTGGCTTCGCAGCACATCTGCTGGGACCAAATAATCTCTTAACGACTTTTTTAAGTGTACAAATTCTATCTCAAACAGGAAGTCACACTTGTAGAAGGACGTCCCCCGCCACGTGTCCATTTTTCGAGTCTTTGACACAAACTGTTTCCATGATCCCGATCACGGCACAATTAAAAGTCCTCTGGAAAACGGTAAAAAAAAAGGTTCCAGCCTCTCTAAAATCACCGAAGAAAAGGTTAAAATCACAAGGGACTTGGCACAACGATTCGCATCCACTGGGAAATGCTTCAGTGGTTATTCTTGGCTGCCTCTTTGGCCGCAATAATCAGAGGAGTGAGGCTAGACAAGGGCTTGGCGATTTTCAGGAACTGGTGCTGCAAAGGAAGAAGACGAAATGCTTTAGCACTGGGGAAAAACTAACCCACACTAGCCAACGATGGCACTTCCAGAGGCAGACTAGTCATAAATGAAGAATTGGTTTACATTCTTTGCAATGTATCACGTACAGTGGTGCCTCGCTAGACGATTGCCTCGTGGGACAAGGAATTCGCTAGACGATGGGTTTTTGCAAAACAATGGTTTCCTATAGGCAATTTTCACTAGACGATGATTATCCCAATTGGAATGCATTGAGTAGCTGTCAATGCATTCCAATGGGGACCCGCGCTTGCAAGACAATGTTTCCCTATGGACGATTTTCGTTACATGAAGAGTTTCTCGTTGGAACGCATTGAATAGACTTCAATGCATTCCAATGGGGAACCGCGCTTTACTAGACAATGTTTTCGCAAGACAGCTATATTCGCGGAACGGATTAACTTCGTCTAGCGAGACACCACTGTATTACATTCTTTGCAATTATCAACTAACTAAATCCTCTCTAGTGGTCGTCAGGCGTGAGGCTTTGGGGATTTTCTTGCACTGCAGCCCCTGGAATTAACCAAGAATTCCCCAGCCAGAATTTTGAGAGCTGCAGTCAAGAGATTTAAGTGCATAGAAAGGAGGGTTTTTTTAAGCACTCACCTGGTAAGCCTCTTGAGTGATCATCTGCCTCTGAAGGAGGCGGAAATGGGTAGGAGTGGCTAAACTTCAGGGATGCTACAAAGGTTATGGGACTGATAGTCCCTCTGTCCGTTAGGCTCACTCTCAAGAAACAATCTGGCAAATTCTGAGATTTCCACTGCAGGAAATCCCAAAGTTCACTTGTTATCTGATTCTACCTCAATTAGCATCTGTTACCTGATTCTCCCTTATTCTGCCCTGAGTTATGCCGTTTCTCCAAAAATCAGACCTAACCTGAAAATAAGCCCCAGTATGATTTTTCAGGATGCTCGCAATACAAGCTCTACCCCAAAAATAAGTCGCAGTGAAGTGAAAGCCCGCCCTCCATCCTTGTGCAACAACCAGAAGAAGAGAACAGGAATAAATGTAGATGGTTGTACATGAAAAAAATTAAAACATCCCCAGAAAATAAGCCCTAATGTGTTTTTGGAGCAAAAATTAATATAAGACCCTGTCTTATTTTCGGGGAAACATGGTATTCAGCTGCAATTCCATCCCATGAGGTGAAGAAAGGAGCAAAGAATACGCCACTAGACAAGATCCTGTCGTTTAAGGTAGTAAACTGCACTAGAGTAAGCCCATTGAATTCATAAGGATTGGGTGAAACAATTCCACTGATTTGAATGGGCCGACTCTAACGGAGCCTTACCTTAGCACCCCCTGCCACTGTCACTGCGAGGCTGCCAAATTTGGGAATGGCAATATTTATTTATTTATTTATGTATTTATTTATTTATATTGCATTTCTACCCCGCCCATCTAGACTCCATAGGGTTCTTCCCCTATCTCAAAAAATTGCCTACACTGGTGCAAACAAATGAACACTCCCCTTGCAAAGGATTTCGATAAAATGAGGGTTACCTGAAGGAGTTCTTTTGCTGAGCCCCGCTTTTCCACATCCATCTCAAGGCAGTGATTCAGGAAGTCTCTAAATATGGCAGAAAGTTTCTCTGGATTCTGCAGTTCTGGGGTGCCATTGGTAGCAATGAGATACAAAGCCTTAAAAATAAAAACAACCACCATACGTATGAGAAGGAAAGAGAGTCCAGTTTGTGTTTTATTGTACGCCCAAAGCATCAGAGACAGAAACACAAAGACAGTGACTTTGGAAATTGGAAAGCAAATATGAAGTGACCGTGCAGACAAAAATGGATCGTGGGGCTCGCTGTGACCCTGGAGGACTGCAGGCTGTTAGACATACTCCTCGTGAATCACGGTATGTGTACCCAATCAACAATGCCATACCGTTTACTACATTTAAAAAGAAAAGTCATGCTATGTTGGACTATAGCTGCAGTGAAGTCACAGGTATGCATCCAGGAGAAACACATGGCTATGCCAAAGTAATAAAACTGGGATCTCAGCTGAACCACATCAGCTTACAGGTGGACGACTCACAAGACTGAACACTTCCCCATAATGTGTGTTGCCAAGAGCAAGTCAATACATTAGGTGTAAGTCCAGAGTAGAATCATTCCCACCCACCACCACCACCAAACATACTAGTTTTCTACATTTGAGATTTTCTTCTCCAAATTAGCATGCCATCATGTACCTTAATCTTCGCTACAGAGTCGGTTTAGTGCAGTGATCAAAACATGGCATTGGAACTTGGGAGGATCTGGGTGTAGGGAGCCCCGAAGTTCACCGGTCAGCACCTTATGTAGGCTGGCATAAATGCAACAGCAGGAATCACAGCAGCAAATTGCTCCCAATTAAAGAGTCACTAGTTGTATTCCTCATTGCCCCCCAGCAGTGTCGTTCAGCCTGTGACAATTCACTACTGTGACTTTCACCATTACATATTGACCTCTATATATAAGCCACAGGATTTGGGACACTTGGAAACCTTGGGCCAGTTATATATTCTCTCTCTCAGGCTGATCTACCTCATAGGGTTGTTGTAGGAAATAAGGGTGGAGAAAGACACATACAGCCCATTGCGCTCAGCTGCTGACCCTCCAAACTTCACCAACACCTGGCATGAACCACGTGGCCCTGCCTTTTGTTGCTGCTGCTGATTTTTCTCTTACTTTTTTCCTTGCTGCTGGCAATTAACAAAGGCTCTTTTCCATTTCAATAATTAACATAACAAAATGATTGATTAACTCATTTGTGACTCATGCTTTCCCCACATGTCCCACTATTGATGTTTGTTGTGTTACTGCTAAGCTTTGTTATTGAATGCTTTATTTGTTTATTATGAATGTGTTCTGATTTTTCGTCAGTAAGATGATTTTTTTTCCTGTTGTTGTGGACGGTTTCGAGCATATGGTGAATGGAAAGGCTCGACACGAATAAAATGACTGATTCGAGAAGGGATGACGACAACATTCAGCAGACAGAGACAGGCTTTTATGATTTCAGAAAGAGCTAACATTCTCTCTACGGCGTGCAGAACACACATAGGAAACCGCGTTTTATAGAATGTTTGAAACCCCCGTCTCTCTTAGATTTTACGAAGCTTTCTGTTTTTAGACCTAAGTAGACATAAGCATTTGTAAACCAGATTATTGAATATAGCAGGAAACAGGAATAAATCATAGTGTCCTTACAATCAATCATTTGGATTAAGGTATTTGATTAATCATTTTCAGGATTTTGACGTGAACTAGTATAGGAGGGAAAGGCTATGTTTTGAGAACCACCCCAGAGAGGTCAGGAAACAGAAAGAGAGAATAACCTTAAAACGGCAGAGCTGGAAGGGACCCTATGAATCATCAAGTCCATCCCCTGTCAAGAAAGCCCAGTGGGGGTTTCGAACTCCCAACCTCTGTCTCTGCAGTCAGATGCCTTAAACGACAGAGCTATCCAGAAGTTCTGGTCAGTGGGGCAATGCTTCTGGCCCTTATGACAGAAGTTCTGAACTGGTCAGTGGGGCAATGCTTCTGGCCCTTGAAGAATGACCGCAGATGTGAATTGTCCAAAGGTGTTAGAACATTGACTGGTACATATGATTAAATAACTTAAGTGGGCTGATAAAGATTGTTAGGCCACTCTTAAAATAATTAGGCTTAATTAAGAGGTGTCAAATTGGTCATAGAGGGGGAATCAAAGCTACGGCCCTCAGTTCAGAACTGAGGCTCACTCGCTTACTTTGTCTTATAAGTGTTCTATGATTCTTTAGTAAAAATGTTGAACCTCTTAACGCCTGGAATGCCTTATTTGTTTCTGTTGAAATTGCTATGTTTACGGTAATAAACATTTTTGTTGTTGTTGTTTATTTGTTAAGTCTTGTCCGACTCTTCGTGACCCCATGGACCAGAACACGCCAGGCCCTCCTGTCTTCCACAGCCTCCCATAGTTGGGTCAAATTCATGTTGGTCGCTTTGGTCACCCTGTCCACCCATCTCGTCCTCTGTCGTCCCCTTCTCCTCTTGCCTTCACACTTTCCCAACATCAGGGTCTTTTCCAGGGAGTCTTCTCTTCTCATGAGATGGCCAAAGTCTTGGAGCCTCAGCTTCAGGATCTATCCTTCCTGTGAGCACTCAGGGTTGATTTCCTTCAGAACGGATAGGTTTGTTCTCCTTGCAATCCAGGGGACTCTCAAGAGCCTCCTCCAGCACCACAATTCAAAAGCATCCATTCTTCGGCGGTCAGCCTTCTTTATGCTCCAGCTCTCACAGGATTCTCCACTCTGTCTCTTTGACCAGGGCTGGACGCGATGATGCATAGAGTTTGAAACCAGAAGGTAGACAGATGATCCAAGGCTTCATGAAGAAGTAGAAAGGAGACAGCAGGGCCTCCTTTCACTGTGCCAATCATTCAGACAAATCCTAAGGCTACCAGGGATTTGATTCCAAAAATATCTTTCTTATAATTTAAGCATGAGGAAATGCAGAAGATTGCCTTGAAGCAGCTCAGATTATTTTCTCCAGCATCGTCTGTCTGAAATGCAAGTGTCTCATCAGGTAAGGAGCTGTTCCTCTGAGATGTCACCAATGCTGGTGACAGAACTTGGGGCCTTCTGAGCATAACAGTTTTATTACTGAGCAAGGACCCGCTTCTCTAAGCTAAAAGGAAGGCCAAGCATGGTTCAACCCTAAATGGGAAATGACCTGGAAATCGCCTCCTGGAAAGAAAGAGCCAAGCCGAAAGAAAAATTCTGTCATAGCTTACCCTCAGGGGATTCTCATTGAGGTATGGAGGTTCCCCCTCAATCATTTCGATGGCCATGATCCCTAAGGACCAGATGTCCACCTTGGGCCCGTAAGCTTTCCTCGTCACCACTTCAGGAGCCATCCAGTACGGCGTTCCCACCATGGTGCTACGTTTGCTCTGCTCGGGAGTGATTTGGGCACAGAAACCAAAGTCAGCTGCAGAGAAGAAGAAACCATGAGCTCAGACCATTCCGTAAACTGACTGTCTAAAGCTGGAGAGGGAGGAATGAAGCCAGTAGGTGGCACTTGATCCGTGGAGCCATTTATGAAGTTTCCTGTCGCCCTTGGGTCTTCTTGTCCCCGATTCTCAAAAACCACGTTGCTCAGAAAGTCCTCTAGAGCAGTGGTCCCCAACCTTGGGCCTCCAGATGTTCTTGAACTACAACTCCCAGAAGCCTTCACCACCACTTCTACTGGCCACGATTTCTGGGAGTTGAATTCCAAGAACGTCT